AAGAACATCCATGAAAAACCCATAAAGAGCTCCATGAACATTTTTCACCCAAAGACACCCCAAAAACTCTCAAACTTAAGGGAAAAAACATATTACCATACTAGGGTACTTAGGGGTTCCTAATGTCACTTTAAAACACTTTTAACAAGACAAACATGAACCAAAAAATCCACCCTTTGGATTTGGCAGAATTTCCCCAAAAACATGGCACCAAATTTTAGCTCAAAAATTCATGCTCATATGAACTACATCTACAACATTTGAGATGACAAATTTTCTAACAAAATTTACATTCAAAGAAGAAAGAATAAAGCTTGTAACAATTACAACATTCAAATCATAAACTATGAAAATACAAAACCCAAAAGGATTCACCAACTACTAGACCTAGGCTCTTGATACCACTTGAAGGAAATTTTGTGAAAAACATGTTCATTTGAGCAACATCTATGGCATGCAATTAACAATTAAAGGCGGAATCATGCTTGTATGCACTCAAAACAAAACATTACCTATGAAATTCAAAGCCTAGTAGTTATGTGAACTAAGACTCAACTCAAGAATAAAGTGAGTTGAAAAATTTAATACCTTTGTTGATTCCTCTTTGCATAAGCAAAGGCTAATCACCCAAGGAGAGGGCATTCATTCCTTGCTTCTTAGCTCCATGGATTTCTTGGATGAGGATGGTTGAAAGCATTCTCCAAGTTCCTAAAGTTGAGAACCTCTAAGTCTCCACACTAAGTTAGGACTTGAAGAAGAGATGAGTGACCTAGAGGAAGTAAGATTGCTAGCTAAAATCCTCTAGGGTGGCCGGCCTCTTAGAGAGAAAAGGGAGCTTGTGTTCTCATCTTTTCTCCAAAAGAAACCCTAAGGATGAAATGGCTATAAAGTTACCTTTATACCACCTCACAATGGAGTGGCAAACTTGCAATTAAGCCAAGTTCACTACCCCTCTCTATATGGCCGGTTTTCCTAAGCCTTTGGGCTGTTTTGGGCTTCTTGAATTTTGTTTGTTAAGTTGTCATACAACTTAAGCTAATGGGCTTGACGATTCGAATCCCAATTTGGGCTTTAAGGCCCAAAACTAACTCAAGGTTTAAAATGAACTTATTTGTTTGATTAATTAACATATTAATTAATTCTTGCCATAAACAATTAAATATTTAATTGTCCTTACTCATCTCCGTCAAATCCTTCAAGCATTACCTTACACGGTTTGCAATCCATTAGGTTCCTTTTAGCGTGGCAGTGGGCGATTGAACTCTTTCAAATCGATTGTGAATTGAAACTTACTTTCAATTCTCCCTTTAGTGATTATACACATTTAGGGCTTCCAAAAACCATGAGTGATACCTAACAGTATATCATGGTTACCCAAGCTAATCAGAAGAGGTGGAGAACCTATTCAGTTTAGGATTACAATGTAATACGGTTTTTCTCTAATACAATACTTTTTACCACATTGTTTGGTTTGATAGTTTATTCATGTCTACCATCCAATCTAATTCATTTACTTATATGATTTCCTTGAATGTGATTTAGAACGACTTCCTAAATCTCATTCATACTCTGGCCAGAGATTCTTAATCATATCATAGAGTATTCTCCCTTAAACAGTTTGAAGGTTAGAGATCCTTTGTTGCGCATTCACTTGCCTCCATGGCTAAGTGGCTTAACCCCAACTATGTCATGGACATCCTCGGATGGAGTGACTTTGACATAGTCAAAGATCAAGAACCTAACCACAAGACAACTATGATGCCTCAGATCAAATGACTACTTTGCATTATCCCAACCATGAGTTCTCATTGACATGAGTATGAGAACTCCTTATTGATCGCGTTCAGTGAACTCATTCTCTATTGAGCACCTACGTACTTGTCTTGGTGTCAGTCACACCAATGACTCGAGACCAGTCACTCTCCCTAAGAGAAGACATAGCACGTACTGATTTTAACGGACTGTCAATGCCCAATTGGCAATCCTATGATCAGGAACGTTTAGGATATGTATACGAAAGAGAATGGTATCATAAATCTAACTTCTTTAGATCGCATTCTCCCAATTACATATTCCTTGGACTTATTGTTTAAGCGTATAACATTTATATGAGACGGCTTCAAAGAATAATCTTTGCCCTTTAAATTAAACTATATTAGTTTAACATGTGAAATGTCCGTAAAGTATCATCATATGATTGGTTTTAGGGCACATTTCCAACACATATGCCTATACTAATTTTTATTTTTTAAGTAAGGAGAGAGGGAGGGAGTGAACGTGTGGGAGTGGGAGAGAAGTTTTTGTTTTTTATTTTTTATCTTTTAATATTAGATATATATTAAAAACACATGTAAGTGAAGCTTAAATAAAAAACAACAAAATTTGATTTTATAAAATTACATAAATGCCCATAATTTTTTTTGTGATAAATGTTTAAATAGTCTTTTTACATTTTTTTTGTTGACAATAAGACGTTTTGTTAATATGCAGTTTAGATTAGATGTTATATATTTGTGATAGGTAAAAATTTCATTATAGTCACCGACGGGGTTCGAACCCACGCCGTGATGTAATAACTCAACTCATTTCCACCACTGTAGTAAAGGGCCACTTGCATAATATTTGTTTATTTCTTTAATTTGGTGTGTTTCTATGCTAATTTCTATGAAAATAATATTTTTTTTTTATCAAGAAACGAGTACATGTGTCTGTATATATTAGTTTTAGATGGAAGTGGCCGGTCATGCTCTTGTATTAACTTACTATTCTCTGATGGCAATGGTCATTGCCAAATATTAAAATTATTAACTTAAGAACACAAAAATATAAATTTTTTTCTTTCTGGTAAAGTGTGAACCCAATTTGCTTGAGTTCCACGGTAACTTGAAGTTTAAAAAACGGGACGGGCCCATTGCATATTTGCGTTGCAACTTGCAAGAAGAGAAGTCTTAGTTCAAATATGACGACGAAGACTTCAGAGTCAAAAGAGGGGTGGTGACACGTGAAATGCGGGAGCGAGCTCCTTTTACTAACTTAGCTTGCGAACAAGGCAAGGTTGGTCAACTCCATATTTAATTTGTTGGTATAATGTTGATGGCTATTAGCTTGTATGTATGATTGAAGTAAAATTTTGATGTAAATAATGTTAATCTATATCACTTTCGTATTTATTTTCGTTATAAAACTAATTACATGATGAGAGAATGATGAAGACATAATATGCACATGAGACTAAAGAATGGACAACTGATTTGTTAGTATGGCTTTTATTAAACAAGGATATTGTTTGCAAACGCGAAGCTAGGAATTATAGAGATGGTGAGTTAATTTCACTTTTGATTGTAGTATGGAGTGAAATTTAGGTGTTAGAGGTAGTTTCATTTCTAGTTTGAGCAATACTAGACTTTACTTTTCTATAATATACTCATACTGTTATAACCTATATTTAATTGAGGGAAAGAGAGGAGGTGAGACAAAGAGAGAGAATGGAGAGATTGTAGAATGCTTAGGGATTCTTGTGTGTATTACTCCCTATGCAAGCATTAACTTGTCATCCAAATAAATACAATCCTATAGGAAAAGAATAACTAGAGTAATTGATAATCTAAAAACCAAATCTATCTAGCATTTACACACAATTAAAGAATATCCATAACAAATACACCATTTCTTTTCATGTTTCAAAAATTGGGGTGGGCTAGAGCCCACGACAAACGTTACCGGGCTCTACTCTTGATTGTTTGCATATACATTTATTTGCATCTACGTTAGACGGTTGAAGCTTAAATTTAGCAGAATTTATAGAACTTTCATAGTTTATCTGACAACAAAATATGTCCGTATTTGCATGTAACAGTTACATGAATATTTTTTGGGAGTTATAACGAAACACTCCCGATACTGTTCACTTTTAGCCCGAGATTATTAAAAAATAAATTTAGGCTAATTTTTTTAAGCAATTTAAAAAAAAATTATGTACACTATCCTAATTTAATTTTATGAACATTTTAACCTAAAAATATTTAGATTCCGATAATTATTGAAAAATCACTAAATTTAGATGAATTTTGAGTTAAATATATATATATTTTTAATTATTTTAGCATTTGGATTTAAATTTAAACCATTAGATCATTTTTTACCATTAAATTTGATTATATTCAATCTTAGCCATTAAATTCAATAAAAATATAAATATAAAACTAAAAAAAAAGTTTGAATGTGGACCGTTGGATAAACCAACGACCCATTTGATTGTGGCCGCATGATCAGAAAAAAGAGCCATTAGGCTCATGATTGCTAGCAGACAAGTGGGCGACAAGCCATGGGTGCGACTTTTCTGCTGTTGGGCTTGGCGCGTGCCAAGCATGCGAGCTTCTAGCCTTGGCATTTGGGCTTCAAACGCCGAATCTCACTCTCACTCTCATTTGTGAGCTCCACTACTAATCTTGAGCTAAATATTAGAGGAATTTGAGTTTTTTTAAGTTTTAACACGTAACTCAATTTTAGAACAAGGGTTGGAGAGATACGAGGAAAGAGGAATAGAAGGGAAAACTTAAGATTTACTCCAAGGTTTGAAGTTAATCTAAAATCTTAATAATTGATTTTCTTATATAAAATTTCCGATGACAAACTTAAAACGATAAAAAGGACGAAAAGTAAACAGACGCTCCTCATGCAGTAAAAATGGAGGGAAAAAGACATGAACTGTAAAAGATAAATACAAAATACAAAAGAAAAAGAAAAATGGGAGAGAGGGATCCGTACCAATCAAATTGTGTCAGACAGCATTGTGGTTTGTGCGAGGAAAGATAGAGAAAAAAGAGACACCGCGCAAACAAGGAGAAAGCGAGCACCGAGCACCGAGCACCTTCCACTCCCTTCTCTGCCTGTTACTGGCCCACAACCCGAGGCAAATTTTTGCCCTTTTTCTCTTCTTTTTTATTGTTTTACTTTTATTGTATTAGTTTATTTGATTTGTTAAAAGTTTCATATTGTAGTTATTCTTTGCTTCCGCAAGTGGGAAACTGTTTGTTGTTGTTGCTGACGAGAGAGAGAAAGGGAAATTGGAAGGGGTTGGGAAAGTGGAAATCCCTATGAGAAATTAGATTTCTGGGGTTTGACCAAAGTTTGGTGGTGACCCAGGTGAGCAAAACTCTCCTTTTCCAAGTGTTTGTTCCTGTTTCAGATTTTGATTTGGTTTTTGGAAACAATCTGTTGGGTTTTTTATTTGGGGATTGGTGTTTTTGAGAAAGTCATATATTTGGACTTGAGATAAGATCATATCTGGATCTGTGCTGGGTTGTTTTTGGCTTTTGCAGTTTGTGGATTTTAATGTTTAGGGAAAATTTTGAGATTTCTGGTTCTGGATAAGGAAAAAGATTGAATTTTTGGGTTCTTCTGCTATCTAATTGAGAGATTAGAACATAATTTGAGGGTCTGAATTTATCTGTGTTTTTTTGGTTGGTTAGATTTTGACTCGGGATTTCATGGGTTGAAAACAAAAAGGCAAAAAAAAAAAAAACAGTGAATTGATGGGGAGTTATGGTGAAGAGCGTGAGGATCAATTTTATGATACCCGAGAGGACCTTTCTTCGGTTTCGGATTGGGGTTCCGATTGCTGTGAGGAGTTTAGTTCTGGTACTCCAGGTTTCTTAAGGTATGAGGAGGTGTGGGCTAACAACTTGGAAAGTGTTCATGAGCGCCGCCATAAGTTCCTGCAGTGGATGGGTGTAGATTTGGTTTCGAATTCGATGATGACAGAAGACTCAGAAGATGTCTTTGTTGACAGAATTAAAATTATTGATAGAATTAGGGAAGATAGTGGGGTAATGTTGAGAAGTTGGGGATTGGAAGAGGCGTCTTGCTCAAGTCAGTCAACAGTGTCTTCTTTGTCAACTGAAGCTCGGGAATCACTAGGAAATGGTGCTTTGGATGATACACGTTCCACACGTGCAATGAGGAATTTGAACGGCGGAATGACTGTCATTGTAAGTGAATTGGTTCAGGATGGAAGGCTTGGCAGATTAGGTCAAGCGGGGCTAAATCAATTGGTTAATGGGGAAATTCTTAGTGCACAGGCACCGTCTCCTTTGATTCAGCAATTATTGCAGAGAGAAGTTGATAACGCTAGGTTCTTTCTTGATGCGAAGAAGAAAGTTAAAAGGGGATGGTTAAGGAAATTAGGAAATGGGATTTGCGTTGCTGATAAACATGAGGCTGAGGCTGCGTTGAGCCCCATCAGTCTTAAATCTGCGTCAGGGGTAGGGATGCAAAGAGTCCAAGTTCATCCAAGTAAAAAGCGGACCAAGGAATTATCCTCACTGTATGCTGGGCAACACTTTTCGGCTCACGAGGGTTCAATTTTGTCCATGAAGTTCAGTCTTGATGGGCAATACTTGGCCAGTGCTGGTGAAGATGGTGTCGTGAGAGTGTGGAAGGTGATTGAGGATGAGAGATTCAACAAATTTGATATTGCTTCTGATCCTTCTTCTCTGTACTTCAAGATGCATCCATTTTCCAAGTTAAACTCTCCCAATGTGAATAAAGAAAAACAGAGTAAGGCGCAGCAATTGGGGGGATCATCAGAGTCAGCTTGTGTCGTTTTCCCTCCAAAGATATTTCGCTTATTGGAGCAGCCTGTTCATGAGTTCCGGGGACACAGAGGGGAGGTCTTGGATCTCTCATGGTCAAAGAAAGGGGTTAGTAATACTTTTGGCTTTGCTATTTCTTTTTTAATATATGCTACTTTATTTGTAGAATGGTAGGAAATTGGATTTTATTTCCTATTATAATTATTCTTTCCAGCCAAGTTAGTGTTGATTCACTGAACTCGATAGAACTAATGGTGTGTTATGTGTGCGCTTCAGTTTCTGCTCTCATCCTCTGTTGATAAGACAGTCCGTTTATGGCAAGTAGGATGCGACAGATGCCTGAGAGTCTTTTCTCACAGTAATTTTGGTGAGCCTTGCCACTTGTTTGCATTCTGTTACAATGTAGTATACCAGTGACTTGGTTTGTGTTGGTTATCTATATCGTTATGATCTCAATTCTTTCTTCCATTTTGATGTAGTTCTGCAATGATTATCTAAAGCTGTGATATTCGATGCAGTGACATGTGTTAATTTCAACCCTCTGGATGATAATTATTTCATCAGTGGTTCAATAGACGGAAAAGTTCGCATTTGGGAAATTATTCGTTGTCTGGTTGTTGACTATATTGATGTTCGCGAGATAGTCACTGCTGTATCTTATCGTCCTGACGGAAAGGTCTGTTGGATTTTTGCTTGGAAAATGAAAAATTAAGCATGAAACTACGTGGATTTTGTTTAACTTTGTTTCTTGATGCTTGCAGGGAGGAATTGTGGGTTTGATGACTGGAAATTGCTGTGTCTATAACATCATAGGTACGAAGACCTAATAGTGAATTTTTCTTAATAGTATGCCACTATAATGCTTCTAACTAAAACCCGATTCTTAAGCGTAGCAGAAAACTGGGAGTTCCTTAATCTCCTCTTTCTTTGAGAATTGCGCTGACATGAGATGATTATCTTGATGTCATTCCATTGCAAAATATCTTTCCTTTTGTTTTGCTTGGTCTGATAGTGTGAAATATCTAATGTCTTGTGATTTGTTCAAAATGTCTCACATAGAAAAAATGAAAACTTTGGGGGTTAGTGTATGAGCGAGCTATTGAGCACTCTTCTCTTGCAAGCCAAATTTGCAAGGGTGAGATCTATCCACGGGCCCTTACGTTTTTTGTGCTTTTTTTTTATTCTATCTTTGTAGTTTGTGATCGAGGTTTCAATATTTTCAGATGACCATCTGGAATTGGATGCTCAGATAACCGTACACGGCAAAAAGAAGTCACCTGGAAAAAGGATAACTGGCTTTCAGGTTGTTATGAACAATTTTTATGTCATTTCTTCCATTTTCACTTTATTTCTCTGTGGTATACTAAGTGTAATATGATTCCTCAGTTTTCTCCAAGCAACCCAAGCAAAGTTATGGTGACGTCTGCTGATTCAGTAGTCCGTATAATTTCTGGGAAAGATATCGTCTGCAAATATAGGGGTATGCATCAGCTTTTATTCATCTTCGTAATTGTTTTAAGTTATTGTTACACCCCAGCCCCAAAGTCTGCAATGATTATAGTATTAACTGTTTTGTCATTCCTCGTTAGGTCTTCGAAATGGAGGAAACCATATGTCCGCCTCTTTTACCTCAGACGGAAAGCACATTGTCTCAGCAAGCGATGATTCAAATGTACGCATCTGGAACTGCAATAGCCAGGACACGACATCTTCGCGATCGAGGAACATATGGTCTTGTGAGAGTTTCGTGTCCCACAACTCCATGATTGCTATACCTTGGAATGGTGTAAACAGCTTGCCGGGAACCCTTGCATCCCCCAGATTCATTGGGGATTTGCCTCGAAGCAGCCTTGATTATCCCTTAAAACATCTCAATTTGGATGAGAAAGTAGAACAGAAGTCCTTGCCAAGGGGTACCGCGACTTGGCCCGAGGAGAAACTTGTAAACTCAAGTCCAGTACCCGTTTCCCCAATGATGTGCAGATCCGAGTACAAGTTTTTGAAGAGTGCTTGCCAGAGTATGTCTGGCTCATCTCACATGTGGGGCCTTGTGATCGTCACCGCCAGCCTGGACGGACGGATTAAAACATACCACAATTACGGGTTACCTATTCGTCGTTAAGATCCCTCAGGTGGCATTTTTTCGGCGGTGGTTTTGCATCCTTGCGAACACAGCTGGTAATTGTTAAATAACCCTTGGTGCTTGTCCAATGCAGTATTATTGACAGTTTGCCAACGACAGCTCTAAGGTGGGTTTACCTAGTTTGTACCCCGGAAGATTTCCAAATGTTTTATAGTCCAGTCAGGTCGTGACAGGTGGCGACTGTTTATCCGATTCAGCTGCAGTCCTGCCAGGTGGCTGGGGGATTGGTTTTTTGTTTTTGTATTGGATCATCTTGTACAAGTCAATTATATGATTCTTTAATTTGTTGGTTTCTCAGCTCAAGAAATTATGTGTATAATTTAAGTGGCTGTAGGTCCTTAGGAATTAGGATAGAACCGATAGAATACAGATACAAATGTGTATAATTATAATTATAATTATATATATATATACATATATACAGGTGTCTAGGGCATCTTATGAAAACCTGCATTTGGAAATATTGGATATCTTCTTGACATTTCATTTATCAAAATTAAATTTTTAGTGGTTTGGGGGCAGTGCGCTCTCTCTCTCTCTCTCTCTCTCTCATTTGAATATCAGAACCGTGAATAATTCTGACAACATTGATAGTGTTTTATTTGGGTTGTTATCACAAATGATCCCAGAAATTGATTCTCACCATTAACATCGTTTTTGAAATTGAAAATCAATCAATGTAGTTTTTGAAAATAGGTGTTGCAAATCAATGAATTTATTCCGTCACAATTCTGTTAAAAAATTGTGTGAAGTGTAGACATGGCACATAAATGGGGTCCCATAAGTCAATCTTTCTCACAAATGGTCATTGAAATTGACTTGCAACATCAAAATGGTCCCTAAAATTAAAAATCAATCAATGTAGTCCCACAAGTAAGTGTCCCAAATCAATATAGTCATGTCGTCACAATTCTGTCAAAAATTTTGTTATGTGCTGATGTAATACATAAATCGATCACACACTTCTAATTAATTATTATTATTTAATTACAAATAGGTTTAATAATTTAATAGTTAATAAAAAGTTGTGAACCCAAAAACCCAATCCTACAATCACCTATGATCCTAGTCCACATTCCTTTACCTCCTTCGCTGTATATTCTCTAAAAAAAATATATCTCAATACATTCATCTTTACACATTTTGACACCCTTCACCGAATTGAACCTAAATCGAGATTACTTTTGGTGACGGCTTGGCTGATTGGCAACGATTTCTAGGACATCACCGTTAATATTTAGGTGATCAACATTCTCACAACTCTTGGAGCGCTTGTTCAGCGCTTTCCTAGTAGTTTGGTGACTCAAAGAATGGCGAGGTCTGCCTTGAGATAATGAGGTTATAATTGAGGTGTGTCTATTGTTGGTTGAAAACTATTTTCAAACCCTCTCTTAGGCCTTGGTTAAGACTTGTGCCTTTGAGAATTTATGGAAATGATCTCTTTTCGGAGTAGGGCCTATTATAAGAAAAAAATTCCATTGTACAAAAAGGTATTTAGATAATTTTTAAATTAATTATTAAACCCACATCAGCACATAACAATTTTTTTTACAGAATTGTGACGGAATGATCATATTGATTTACGACACCTATTTTCAAGAACTATATTCATCGATTTTTAATTTTAAGGATCATCTTGATGGTGTGGGTCAATTTCAGGGACCATCTTGATGGTGTGAGTCAATTTCAAGATCATTTGTGATAAAAACCCATAAATCTAGTGGGGCCCATTCATGTGCCACATCAACTCTTAATGGAATTTTTAACATAATTGTGACGAAATGACCACATTGATTTGCGACACCTATATTTAGGGACTACATTGATTGATTTTCAATTTTAGGAACCATCATGATGGTGATAGTCAATTTCAAGGACAATTTGTGATAAAAACCCATTTTATTTTATATTTTACATACAACGATATACATAGACTAAAGAGTGAGAGATTTGAACCCTCAATAGTTTTTTGTTTCGAACTATACCAAAACCACACAACAGATCTACTGTAATATTTAGGATAAACCACACACTAATCACATTACTGATAATACACCAAAGTGGCATGTCTTACTGATGAAACTTTGTCCAATAAGGATGGGAAGTATATCTAGATTCTAAATTACTGAACCTGAGATTGGCAATGGGAGAGTCAGCTGTGTTGATTAGGAATGGGCAATGGTTATGGCGGACGGGTAACCGCGGTTATTTACCCATAACCGTTTATGTTCATACCCGCATAACTGTTGGGTAATTGCATAAACGGTTATATTCATACCCATAACCGTTTATAAATGGTTAACCATACACATAACTGTGTACCCATTTAACCATCATAACCATTTACCCATTTAACCATAACCATAACCATTTACCCGTTTACCCGTTTTTTAACCCATTTATCCTTTTTTACCCATTTACCCCTTTTTTTACCCGTCTACATGTTTTTTTTTAACAACTTGAAAATTACAAAATTCAAGGATTTCGAAGGCTCGATAGACGACTAAACATCACAGTCACACACTGCATTTTGTTTCACAGTATATACAACATTAACGAAGACCCATTTTTTCGACATTTTAGCTCATCAACCATAGAAAACATATTACTTAATCCTATAAAATACACAGTTAGAAGGCTGCCTAGCTTAAATTGAACATCTAAAAATCATATCAAAACCCTTTTTTCTACATTGACCCAAAAAAAAAAGTATGATTATTCTTTAACACGTAATCAATTATATAGAAATTCAAGCTTCATCAATTGCTAAAGCACAAAAATTCATAAAAATATCGCAATTCTTGGAGAAACCCAATTCATGAAACTTGCAATAATGAACAATCAAAACGAAGCACAGAATAAGAGTTAAAAAGAAAAAAATTAAATTTGATGCCCCGTTTGGTTTCTGAGAAAATGCAAGAAAATATGGAAACTGAAACTGTTTGTACCATACTTGACCAATCCCAAAACTACTGAGCACCGGTCAACGTTATACCGTCAAGGATCCAGAAGAGTTTCCCTCCAACCAGGAGGCCAATCACAGCGTGACACGTGTCAATATCAGAAGCCAATTATAGAATCAGAAGTCAATCACAACACGACACGTGTCAATGTCAGAATGAAACTAGAAACTCTCTTCTATAAATAGAGATCATTCTCTCACAATATTTCCTAATGTCATTTGTACTAAATCATTCACTAGTACTCACTAAAGGAGAGCCTATGTACTTGTGTAAACCCTTTACAATTAATGAGAACTCTTTTACTCTGTGGACGTAGCCAATCTGGGTGAACCACGTACATCTTGTGTTTGCTTCCCTGTCCCTATCCATTTACTTACTTATCCACACTAGTGACCGGAGCAATCTAGCGAAGGTCACAAACTTAACACTTTCTGTTGTACCAAAGTCCTCGCTGATTTTGTGCATCACCATTTGGCGCCGTCTGTGGGAACGACACTTATTCCCACTCTCTTCAGCTTTGCCAAGTTGGTTTCCACCATTCGTACACTCTCTTTTGACCAGGCATCCCTCTTCAACATGGCGAGCAAAGGAAGCCACAGCACACAAAATGACACCCATCTTGCACCTAGTGCGAAGCAACGAAAGAATGAAGGAAAGAAGGTTGCTCTTCAAGCTAAAGTCGATAAGCTAAAAGCTCAGAACAACAAGATAGCAATGAAGAATGAGGTCATCCAGGAGCAGTATGAGAAGCTCTTTGAGACGCTCCACTAAACTAGGCGTACTCAAACACACGAACTCGTTGCCCCTGTGGACATTAACCATCATTTGGGTGCCCTCCAACACGGAGGGTCACCTCCCTTCGACATGGGTATCCCTGATGAGGAGCGAGCTAATCATCAAAACATTGATCAACAGGAGACTTCTCTTAACCCAGATGCTTCTACCCGAAGTAGAAGAAGTGGAGGAAGACACCTCATTGCAGAAGGGTTGGAAGGATCGAAAGCCGTTTATCGTGACTGCCGAAACTTCCTAAAGCAACGTCGAGAGAATCCCCTCCACATATTCTCGAAGATCAATGACCTAAGGGTTTCTGAAAGACTCGGCCCCCTCCCACAACCTAGGCCAGCTGTTAATTTAGAGAAGGAACGACAGGTTCCAGAGGAACATGAAGGTACGGAGGACTCTGAGGTATTCCGACAGACTCGCCCTAGAAGTCAGTACGGCAAGTCCAAGAAAAAACCACACGTCCTTGCTCAAACTTTCCTACTTCCAAGAGGCGATGAAGACTTACGAAAGAAAATTCCAGTGGTATATGACTCCACTCACGACCCCCTTGTCCTACAGCTCATTGAGAAAGTAAACAAGTTGAAGGCTGAACGTCAGGCCGAGATACCTGACTGGATCCAACCCAAGCCTGGCTCTCTCACAAGAAGGATCCTCGACACCCCTTTCAAGTGAAGACAAAACAAAAGCTTGGTTTACAACTCTATACTAGAAGAGAAGACCCAATTGAACACCTTAACCTCTTTGAGTCCACCATGGCATATCGAATGCACACCGACAAAGAACGATGTCTTCTCTTACCCTCCACTCTCTTTGGCAGAGCTCTAAACTGGTATTACCGTCTTCCACCTGAGATAGTAGACTCATTTGAGGAATTGAAGAAACTGTTTGTCTCTCAACACATCTTCTAGACCGATCACTTGCATTCTGTAGATGACTTGTACACTATTCGCTAGAAGCCGGACGAGTCACTACGAAAGTATGCCGGTCGCTTCAGCCATAAGTATTCTCGTTGCGTTGAGGCAGATGACAAGACCGCTCTCAAGGCCTTCACGGCAGGCCTACGTGATTGTTTCTTCAAGTACATGATCAATGCCAACACTTAGAAGACTTACTCTGAGGTGATGGCACAGGCTTACAACCACGCCTCCGCCGAAGCAAGGACATACCAAGGGAACCCTCATATGGTTAACCCCTATCAACAAATGGGAAGTGGAAATCAAGTTCTACCAAGTGAGGAGATATTGGCCATTCAGACACCCATTGCATAATCTCCTGCCTCATTTAGATACTCGCTAAGTCACCAAACGTATCTGTCTCTTGGTAAGAGGAATAATTTTTACTCTCAACAAACCCATTACAATAAGAGGGATAAAAATTCGTATCAAGACAACCAGGGGTGAACGTACCGTCGACTATTATGACTATAGGGCCAAGCCTCACTTTTTCAAAGTGGAAGACTAGGTATTGAAGGAAATGCTATTATAAGAAGGCATACACATTACAAATGTTTTGACCCTCAACCGCTTGAGATCTTTTGTCACACAAGCCATTCGGTAAATATTTAAAGAATAGGGAATTCAGACAACTTCTTCTGAGTCTTTTGCATTCCTAGCACTAGAACACTTGGTCTACGCTGACCTACCCTTATACTCCAACTCAGAGCTTCAACATGCGTACTTTGACACAAAGTATGTGATACTAAGTGTTACAACCAACATGGTTCACATATCAAAAGCATGGATCCCTTCATGCATAGCAAAACAT